TGGTATTAATAAAATCGTTAATTATGACACTTACAAATATGAGAAATGATTCAAATGATTGTCTTAACGAATGTGATGGATCAATTAATTATATATGTTTTGAAAAAATGTACGAAGAAGCTTTATATATTTGTAGAGAAAATAATATACCATTACCCAGTGAACAAATCCAAAAAATAAGAAAAAAGCGTGTTCCTCAAAAGTTTAAATCATTTTTTATTGATGAAAACATATCATTAGAAAATGAACAAGCTCAATCAAAAAATGATTTTCGTACAAAATTATTTTTTTCAATTTTAGACAAAATTAACGAGTTAGAAAATCGATTTTCCATTAATTCCAGTATTTTGTATGCTATTGATTATCTACATCCAAAAAATGCCAATTTTCTGAGCTATGATGACCTAAAACCTTTAGCCCAACATTATAAATTGGATACAAAATTACTAAAATCAGAACTTAAAATAATACCAAACACAATAAAAATTTACCAAAAAGAAAATCAAATAAAAACCACAAATTTGATGAATTTTGTTGATTTATTGGAAAAATATAAAATTGTTTTTAATGAAACGTACAAGATGGTTATAATCTCTATTACAATTCCGGTATCAAGTGCAGGGTGCGAAAGGACTTTTTCTTGCCTAAGGAGACTTAAAACATACATGCAAAATAAAATGACGGATGAACGCCTATCAAATTTATCTATGATGAGCATCGAAAAGAAGATAGCAAAATCTCTGGACTTGGAAGAAGTTGTAGATAAATTTGCTATAAATCATAATAATCGAAAAATTATTTTAGTATAGACTATTTTTTTAAATTGTATTTATTTTAACATATATTTTATGTATATATTTATTATTCATATACATTATAATCATTATATATAAGGTTTATATAATATTAAGATAAAAATTATCTAATTTATTTGTTTATCAAATTTAATTCTTTTTGTACCTAATTACATTAATTATTATATTCAGAAATTACAATTTTATTATATTATAAACAATATACCTATACATAAACATAATTCTATAAGTGTCTAATGTGGGGCCGTGGGGGGAAGTAAAACTGTTGGCCACTCAAGAAAAATATTTGCCATAACTGTGCCACCCTAATTATTTAATCCTAGCTACGTGCCTGAGAAAAATTAAACGAAAACTAAGTAGCGGCATTATCAAATCACGCGCCCGTCATAATCATAGATAATAGAAGAAACAATTCCATATTGCATAGGCCAAGAATCATTTTTAAATAAGCATATGCACAGAGATAATTTAATAAATTTAACAATCAATAAATATGTTGACATTCGTATTTTTCACGAAATTAGAAAAATAAATGATAACAATATTAAGGAAAAACGTACCCGAGCTAAGTTAACAAAGCTTATTCATTTTAGTCATGAGTAAATAATGTCAATATACCGACTTATGGATCCAAATTGTGATTTATATATTTATTTAAGATTCGACATAGGTAATATCATTTTAATTATAAATTATAAGTAAATATAAGTATGATTTTGTAATTCAATATTAATATTAAAAATTAACATTAAATATAAAATATGATGAATAACAAAAAGAACTGAATATAAAATACACCTATTATAGTTATTGATTATTATTTTTTTTTTTTTTTGTTTATTAAATGTTTTATTCAATCTGTTACGAAAAAGAACAATAAGAACAATTGAGGAAGTAAGAAGAAAAAAAAATAAAAAAAAAAAAAATTAAATTATAACGAGGTAAATATAACAGAGCGTAGAAGCCTCCCAGAGGAGGATTATTTAAATTTACAATTTGACATTTTGATAATTGATAAGACCCCTTGTAACCTCAAAATAAATATTTATTCCCGTGTGATAAGTTGTAATGGCCCATAGAGTAATATAGAGTAATATTACTCTATGTAATGGCCTATCCATTCTTCTATTATCTTTGGTCGTTGTCAGCGGTAGTAATCCTCCACTTACAATGTAACCAATTAAGCGGCCATTCTGGTAAAAGTGAAAAATATACAACGCTCAAAAGATGGCGTTGTGCGCCGTATCGCCGCCGTCCCAACAGACCGTAATCACGCCCATCGTCTACGCGACAGGATCCACGCTTCATAATCGCGGGAGCGGTACATTATTATTTCACTGACGGTTGTTCGAAACGTTTCGCAACAATGTAGTTGATCATTGTCGTCGTTGTATAACTTGCTACTGTCTAGCGCACGGTACGTGACTCCTAACTATCGAGTCGCAAGCTATTTATTCATTATTCATTTAACCTCTTGTTTACTTAAAAATATTAAACAATAAATAAAGCGTACAAATTATTATACATCATAATTTAATTTATATTTTTAACCTAATTACTTTTTAAAATACAGGTAAAATAATAATTTCATTGCTATTAAATAATTTTTTATAGTAAATGTATAGCGTCGTATATGATTTGAATGACAGAAATTATGAATTTAATTAAGGCATAGTACCTAATTGCTGTAATAACCTAATGTTTTACAGATTACTAAACTTATGGGTTCAAAATATTCATATATTTAAAAAATATCTGTACAAACTACACATATTCATATAATAACTTTTCAACGGCGCACTTAGATTTTATTTTCGTTTATTTTTAGCAAATTAATGGTATTTTTCCCCAGGAAATCGTCGATGACGGCGATGACTATATAAGGTAGTATGTGTATTGCCAAAATTGTTTTATTTTTCTTATAATATTAATACCTATATATATATATATATTGTAGTATTATGCAGTCCCAACAATATTCAATAAAAATTATCCAGGTCTTTCAAGATCTTTCACTGACTTTTTTATATAATTTTTAAACATTTGAAAATTTTGAAAATTTAAAATGCATATATCTTTGGTTTGAAAAAAAAAATCGAAAATCTGACACATAGTTATCTAGATGAACTTCTCAAGTTTATTTTGGTGACGAAATCATTCGTTTTATGACTAACGAGGGCTAAGGAAAATGCTAAGTACAAAAGTATGTTTTTACGGTCGAATTTTGCTACCAGAACGGATTCTTAAAGGCTGCGACGTAGCCGGGGGGGACAATTTATAACCCCCCCCCCCCCCCTTAATGTCTCTTTTAATTTGTAAGATATACAATTATTATAAGACATATTTATAATATTATATCATATGTTATATCATAGGTATAATGTTATACCGGTACTGTCGAACATTAATTTGTTATAAATCTTATTTCATACATCTTTCTTAGAAGCTTGTACAAAAAATAGTTGTATATATGAATTATCAATTTATATTCATACAAACATGTTCTCGGAATTATTGTAGTTAATCGGTTATCGTAATCTAGTTCAGCAGGCACAGATACAAGGGGAGCATAGGAGTGATGTACCTCCCCCCAAAAGTCACGAAACAAAACAAAAAAAAAAAAAATTATAATATTATATGTTAAGCAATGATAAAAATTATATTTTTTCTATGTAACTATGTATTGACATGTTTTCAAAAACTAAAAGAAAATTAGATTTCATTTTATAATTTTTAATTTAATTTCATATTTAATATTTTTCTTTATTGTTTTTAAATAAAAAGTTTTCTTTTCAGTGTAAATATCTACTTTTTTTTAAACTTTTAGTCGAAAGTTTATTTCTTTAGAGTGTTAAGAAATATTTATGGTAAACAGTAGGTAATACTTTAATATAAAATAATAATATAGAATAAATAATCTAAATATCTTAATTTATATCTTAATATATAATAATTTAATTTTATATACTATATTATGACTACGATAAAAAATTACCCCCCCCCCTAATAATTATTCTGGATCCGTGCCTATAGCCAAGGACTCTCAAATTTTTATAAACACAGTACCCCTTTTTATCAATAATCTTTTTTGGGTACCAATTAAAAAAAAGTAATAATTTTTAATTAACTGGGTTTTAATTTTAAAGAGCATAACAATATAACTAGAAATATTTGAAATAATAAAATATTGTATATTGCAGATTTTAATTACTATCATAGTTCCGAGAATTTGTAATGTAGTCCAGTGATTTTCAACCTTTTTCGAATCGCGACCCCCATTTTTTTTTTTTTTGTAATGCGACCCCTTAAAAAAAAAAATGTTATTCTATTCAACAAAATTTAATTTAATTAATGATAAAATATTTACATATGAAACACAATTTTGATTAATTAACACTTAAAAATTTCACAAAATAAATAATTTACTTTGTTTTTTTTAAATAATATGGAAAAATCATTTCATTCATTATTTTTGGCGACCCCCAGGTTGAAAACCACTGTTCTAAGGGGTCGTTAGATCAATAATTAAGACTTCTGTCATCATGATGATCAAACAAAGTAATATTTTGCCGCCTGAGAAAAATCAAACTTTCAACTATAGGTTTTAGTCTAAATATATATTTTTTAACTTGCTTTAGGTGCTGGAAACTGATTTGGTTGATTACTTCTATTTCAGGATTATTATAAGAATTTAAAAATTTTTTTCCATTCAATACAGAATTCTTATTGAACAAATTTTTATTATTATTATATGACATTTTGTCTAAATAAATCGTACTTTATACAATACTATTATAATTAAAACATTTATTTTAATAATAAAATATATTCTTAATATATTATTTATCAATACGCCATACATCAATGAGCAAATTAGTCACAATATTAATTTTTTTTTCTTAAAAATGGGTTAACCTATGAAACGTTTAGGAACTAGTGAACTAGTATATAAAAATAAAAGTGATGGTAATACAAAATGTTGCTCAATATAATATGTTGATAATAAGTAAAAACCATTAAATTTATAACATAATTGTTTATTAAATATACTAAAATCATTTTGGACAGCTATTTTCTAATTTCAAGTTTTGATAATTAGGGAAAAAAAATATTTTTATTTTTCATCTTTATTCAATGTTGTCACGGAATTTTTATAACAATATAATAATAATAATAATAATAATAACTTTTTTATATTTTTATTATGAAATATATGAAAAAAAAAAGATTATATCTTATATTTAATGCGATCAGTTCAAAATAACAATTCTAGGATCAAAGTATAAACATCAAATTTAATTTTTGATGTTGTATGAAATCCTAATATGAAATAAAAACCTTAAATTTTGAACTGAATTAGGTACAAAAATAAAAATGAAATTATTATTTATCAATTTACGAGTCTTCATACAGTGGCGTGTTATCACCCATAGAAGATTCAATCATTGATCTAGGGCTATTGATGGTATGTGGAGTTGAACGACCAGATCTTGGTGTCCATCTTGAGCCAGGTGATGCATACCTCATATCTGAAATATTTTCATCATTGCGTCCAGAACGTGATGAGGATGCATAAATACCAGGTGACTCCTCTCCAGGATCCATTGTAAAAGGATCATAAGGCGTTCCAGAATTAGAGGATGGACCTCGTGGTGATTTGGTTGAATGATGGGTAGAAGTTGTGTAATTATTTTTATAGTTCTTTGATGGTGCGGGAGAGTGATATCCATATGATGAGGCACTTGGGGTAGGTGAAGGAGCATCACTTCGTGGAGTGCTAGTTTCCCTTTCTCTGTTCATGCTATAACGATGGTTATTATACCTAAAATAGTAAAATCCACCAAAATTAATAAAATAATTTAGATTTTTTTTTTTTTTTTTTTTTAAAGCCAATATTACATAATTCAATATTTATTCAGGCTAAAAAAAAAAATAATTATGTTAAATTTTTACCTGTTGCGAGGTGTATGTCGTCCTCCATCAGACATTGGTGTAGAATATCCTTCTCCTCGTTGTTTAGCAGCTTTAGCCCATTCTTCAGCCATACGTCTCCAATCACTTGGATCTGCTGATGGTACAGGTGGTCTAGGGACAGAAGGCCTAGGACTACTTTGAACAATGGGTGTGAGAGAACTAGGATGAAGAAATACACCATCATGAACAGGTGCTTGAGTAGTACTGTAACGAGGAGTAGTATAATTTCCCATGTAAGGAGTCTGTCCTGATGGCGTATAGGGCTAAAATATAAATCAATTATTAATATATAGTTTATTTTGTAAAATTTGATTGACCAAATTTATTACAGTGTTATAAGCAGATTGTTGCATATTATTATATGATGCATGAGGAGATTGTGAATATTGAGGTGTGGTATTTGAGTGACTACTATGACTGCGATTCATTGGTGAGGGCTCTAAAAAAAATATAATATAAAATAATAAATTATTTTTTATTCAATAAATTATATAATATTTGCCTGTATGTGGAGAGGGCCCATATGTTTGCCCTGCTGAACGGGAAGCAACTGGTGTCACATGAGGTGTTGCATCTCGGAAATGTTCTTTATACCATCGGAATAATGATCCAATAGAATCAAAATTTTGGCTACGAAAACGATAACCATCTGGTGTAACAGTAATGTATTCATGTTTTGATCTACGAGTAGGTAAACACGATAAGAGAAATTTGCCTGCATATTTCTGTAAAAATAAAGATCTTATGACTAATGCATAAAACATTGTTTTTCATATGTAAAATTCAAACAATTATTATAAATTTAAAGTAAAAATTGTATTTGCCAGTACAAAACATTTTTTTATTTTAAATATAAGTAATCACATTAAAATAATATTGTTTTTAAAAAAAAAAAAAAAATAAATGATCAAGTATAATTTATTAATATTATTTCTATGAAAAATTATGAATCATTGAAATGTCATGAAAATTGTTACTTTTATTAGATAAATATATGTACTGGTTTTAGACAAAAAAAATCTATGAAATTTATTAATAGGCTTAGGAGGAAGTTATTACATTAAAAAAGATTACATTATTGCCATAAAAAATAACCAAAATTACATTTAAAAATTGCAATTAATCTTTTATTTACCAATTTAACAGAAATTAAAAAAAAAAAAAAAATAATTGTACAAGTACTTTTTAAAAAGACTATTATATTACAAATGTGAGTTATTTTAAAAATTGCAATCAAATTGAAAAAAACCAAAAATTTCAAAGTTGCATTGAATTTTTTTAAGATTTTAATTTGTATTTGTATGGAACAAATTTATAAAATTCTTAGTAATATTAAATAAATCAGAATAGAAAAAAGTTTTAAATGCAACAACTTCTGTGGCCTACTTTTTACTTATAATATTAATTAAATTTAATAAATAACAAACCTGCGAGACAGACACAATGTAATGAATTTTTGAAGGATTATTAGATTTTTCTTCACGGAGTATTTGTTCAGCTTTTTCAATATTGCCTCCATCAGTATTCCGATAATACCTGAATCTTAATAATTCCCTTGCATTGGCAGCCATTGGAGTAATGTGCCGTGCAATAATTTCATCCAAGTCTTCAAATTCTTCAGAACCAATCCAAAGCGAACGTCCCAATGAAAATGCATTGACTTTACCTTTTTCTTGTATGTCAATATGTTGATATACATTGTCTGCTACTTTCCATGTAACAGTTAAATGATCAGCACCTTTACTTGATGGTCTAATAATAGCATCCCCTTGATCAGAATTATTCAATAGTTTAACAGCTTCTCCAAATGAAACATTATAGAAACAGGGATGAACAATTACACGTTTAATATATGTCTGGGCATTTTTTAATTTATTCTTATCTAATTCAGTCTTTCGCTGTCTGCTTTCAGTGTCATGATCATAATAAGGATCTTTTTGAGGTCGCCATTGATGTTCTTCATCTTTTAAATCAGAACTTTTCGATGTAGCTTCAAATGAAAATCTATCAGGTTCAATTTTAATAATTCGACAATGTATAGCTTGATTAAAACGAACTCGATCTTCAGGATTAGCTACATGAGTATTTGATAAATTTTTCATAGCTATAAACCCACTAATACCATTGTCTAATCTTATACGAATTCCAGATGCTTGACCAGGACAACCACCAGCATCAAAATGGTTCCATACCTATTATTTAATGATAAAAGAAAAATTAAAATAAATATATCTAATAATTAAGTAACAATAAACTACTCACATCAGATAATTCAAGGAAGTCATTTTTAAAACAAAATGGGCATTGCCATAAGCCAGTATCATCATTTCTTACTGGATTTGCTTTGTCAAGCTGATCATTTTGTGGTTTCCTTCGTGCAATTCCAGTGACAGTAGCAAGAACCATTTTTCCAACGAAAAATGTTTCTTGAGTCTCCTTAGTTAGTAGTTCAAAAACTTGTCCAGGATTTGGAGGTTTATATGCTACTCTTAAATCTTTATAACGGTGATTTAACTCTTGGCGAATATCATACAATGTAATACTTTTATTACCAAAACCCTAAAATAGTTTCAAATTTAAGTAATACATTTGTTAAAGTATAAATGTATTTTAATATACCTGTCTTTCTAATTCTTCAGCAAATGCATCTAAATCTAAATCTTTAAGTCTTTCTGGAGCATCTAAAATTTCTTCTAGAGCTCCAGCTGGATTTGCTTCTTCATCATCATACTCAAGAGCATCTACTGCCATTTTTCTGGCCCATTCATATGTTTCTGGATGCACTCTAGATCCATCTAAAACTTCTACATATGCTTCAGTACTATCACCCAAAGAATTTGTATCAATTTTAATAAATCCAGCACAGTTTATAAATATCTTTGGACCCATATGACACGAAGTAACCAGTTGCGTTCTATTTTCTAAACGTTGATTAGTCTGCTTCATTAGTTTAATTAGTGCAGTAGCTTTTCTAGGTCCTAAGCCACAAACGAATTGTAAAAGATTGGGCGCATAAACACGTTGAACAACATCATTTATGTCAACACCCACTTCATTAGTTCGATTTATAAATTCTTGGTATAATCCATCTAGTAATTCTTCTTGGCCCAAAAATTCCTGTAAGTAAAATTTAATTTATAAAAAATTTAATAATCTCAAATATAAAACCATATTAAGTTACATATTTAAAGTTTAATAATTTAAATAATAGTCTACTTAGTATTTAAATTAATTTTATGTATTGTAGAAACTTAAGATTATTAAAACTTCTATAAATTAATAAATACTTGATATTGATGATAACGAAGACATAATATTTCATCATCTGTTGTGCACAGTTGAGAAAATTCAACCAAAGGATCTTGCATTCTACGGCCTAAGGAAATAGCTTCACGTAAAAGTTGTGGATAATCTCTGAACTCGTTCTAATAAAAATAATACAATTTAAAAAAATACTAAAATGCCAAATATTTATATATTACCTCTCCTTTGATAGAATTGGCATAAATCCTAGCAAGATGGTTATCTAATATTTCAACTTGTATTTGAGGAAATTGTTCATCAACAACTAGTTGATCAATAACTGCTTTGATATCTCTAACCAGCCATAATGCATCTCTAGACTCAGCTCCAATAACTACCACATGTGGTCTTTTAGAAATCATAAAATTTCTTATATGATTAAAATCAGCATTTCTTTTTGCTTTTACATCATCATTAAATGCTCTTTTCATAATATATGGCAAACGTAAATGATCTTGAACTTCACCATCGGGTGATAAAATACATGCAAATGATGCTTGCTCATGATCAGGAGAATATGCCAATCCCATGACCCTAATGCCTTTACTAGCATCCCAATCATCATCATCTTCATCTATTTCTGGTTTATATGGACCCACCTAATAAAAATGTATTTCAATATTTTCTGATGAAATTAAAATAATATAAATACTCACAGCTAACCAATTAGCTAGTTTATGTTTACAAGCTTTTAGTATATGTTCTTTTGCTTCAGCAAGCAAATTTCGCCTTAATTCCTTAACCATTTCAGGCATTAATAATTTTCTATAAGCTATGTCAACACATTCACGTCGTACGTCATTCCACTGTTGTACATTAGAACTAAATTCATCCTAAGATAACAAAACTATTTGTAAAGTTCATATATATTAAGTATTTTTATATATAGATAATTTACTCTTATATAAAGCTGTTTGACTTCTTCTATATAAGGAAGGGTACTTAAGCCATCTACTTCTTCATCAAATGAAATAGTAAGTAATTTATCATCTTCAGCCATTTGTAATTTTAAGAAGTCATCTCTAACTAAATCTCTTACTGGTTTACGTCGAATATATTTCATTCTTTACAAAAATATTTATTATTAAAAATAAATAATATTTTTAAAATAAAATTATATTAATATTTAGACTTGGGTAGTATTTCGAATACAATATTCGGAATACTGTATTCAGAATATTTTTTAAATCTTTTTTTTGAAAGTACTCAATAAAGTATTTTGAATATTTATAACGAGTACCGTCAAATCATCTCTTTATTAAAGGATTTTAATACTTCTCCGTCGTATCTTGTATAAGCTAAGATCAGGTATTTATTATTGTTGTAAACCATAAACTATAAGAGTTATGTAATATAAAAATACAATAAAATAACATATATTTAATCTACAATTTCAAATATTTCTGTTGAGTGGATATCTATTATTTTTATAGTATGAAAACTAGAAGTATTTTAAAAGTATTCAAAATACTATTTTTTGTAAGTATTTGAGTATTTATTCTAAATATTTTTAAAAAGTATTTTACCCAAGTCTGTTAATATTATATATATATATATATAATTATAATTGATAAAAAAAACTTACGAATAACAATTATGATTTTCATCAATTTCTTTAATACCTCTTTTGGTTGGTACAATATTTATTTTAGCACGATCAAAGAATGTCTCCCGTAAACATTTTCTTATAAGTGGCTCTCGAGATATTTGACATGCCACCATATACTTGCCAGCTTTCAGAACTTCATCAGAAGTTTTTAATAATCTATAAATAAATAAAAATAAAACTTTTATTGAATAATTGAATTTATATACATACTCATTGCAGTATTCTCCAGCAAGTTTATATGGATCAACAGATTCTTGATCTACTTCATGTCTTTGGTAATTGTCACGAACATTTAAAGCAAAAAATTCAGGTCTTAAACCAAAACGTTTGGCAAAACCAGCTAAAATAATTAATAAATATTTTTTACTATGCCATTATTAGGATAATGTACAAGAAACAATTTAATTTTGACATACCAAGTCCTGCTTTTATGCACATGGTATACGGTCCTGAACTACTAGCAGGTTTCACCGTTTCAGTATTTGAACCATCATCATCTAAATTATCAGTATCTTCTTCATCATCAGGTACTTCTTCACCAGCTTCTATTGCAAGTTTTCTTCTTTCTTCTTTTAGATCTCTAGCTTTTTTTTTAATTTCTTTAGATTTTTTTCTAGCATGTTCTTGCATAGCAGGTACATCATTAGCATAATACAACATGAATTGTCCTTGAATATCTTTTAGTTCTTCATTTGTTTGTACTGCACGTAATCTATCAATATCTTCATCTCTAATAACGCGAATATGATCTGGTATAGAAGCAATTGTATCCACAGAATATATTTCCATTTGGTAATCATGCATCTTTTGCAATAATTCAAGTAACATAGTTTTGCGAGATTTTAATTGACACCACTAAAAAAAGATTTAAATTACTTTATTATTTTTTATTTGATATTTTAACTATTTATAGTCATTACAATGACTTAATATTATGCAACTTGCCTTAGCATCAAAATGGTAAACTCTCCACAAATCATTAATATCCAATTCTGGTTCAACATACTCTTTCCTGTAATATGCTAAAAATGGAACTTCAAAGTTTTGATTTCGCATAAAGTCTAACGCTTTTTTAATTTTTCCAATAGTTTGAGGTCCTTTTTTGGATTGAACTCGAGGATCAGCACCACCCTTATTTTCCTAAATTAACATAAACATTATGTTATTAGAAAAAGATAACAAAATAATTAGATTTAGTAGACATTAAAATTGTACTATTGATTTTATAATTTAGTAATTTATTATCATAACTTATTCTATTTTTAATTTACTTGTGTAGTAATTGTAGGCTTGCTAAATGCTTGTTTGTAAATCCATTCTGCTTCATCATCCAATTCATCAGAACCTTCAGGAACTGGTGTTACAGGAATATCTCGTAATTGCATTCTTTCAGGTATATCATTATTACGAATCTAAGCAAAGAAATTAAGTTAAATTTAGGAATAACAATAATTATGTAATGTATATAGATAATTTACTTGATTGTCTAGATCTGTAAAGTGTCCTCTTTTCAATTCGATTGGTTCATAAATTTCAAATATTGATTTTCTAGTAGCTTTTCTACGTTTTTGAGGTTTTGGCCTTTGTCTTCTTTCGCCATCATCTTCATCTTCTATGTAGTCATCATCAGATACGTCGTCTTCATACTCATCATCATATTTTTCAAATTCATCATAATCAAAATCAACACCAAAAATGTCTTGGGCTTCTTGAAGAGCAGCATCATGATATATGTGTTTACGTTTTTTCTTTTTTTCTTTAATTGGTCGTCCTTCATCATCTACAATAAATCCATCATCATCTTCATCAGAATATTCTTCTCCATCTTCATCACCTTCTATATTATAATTATCAACTCTTTCAGCTCTTGAAGATGCACGTTCAGAAGTTCTTTCTTCTTCCTAAATTTCAAAAATAAATTTAATTAAAAGTTCGACAAACATTGATATTTGTGTAATGTTACTTACATTATCAGACATATCAAATAAGGTGTTAGCAATGGCTTCTCGATCTTCCGTAGCATTTTCACCAGTACCTTCATCATCACTTTCTTCATCTTCTAAACGTCTTAATCTTTTAAATCGTTTCTAAAAATAATTTTTTAAAATATCAAATTATTTAATATTAAAATATGTAATGAATGAAACCTACCCTTCGTTCAACTTTAACACCAAGATTTTCTTCAATTAGATCATAATCATCTTCTTCAAGTCGATCATCAAAGTCATCATCTGATTTTTTCCTTTTCTTAGAACCATCTGATTCATCACCAGATGCATCACTTTCTTCAATTGGATTGTCATCAATTAAATCTTTTAGTTCTTCACGTATTTTATCTTCATCATCTAGTAAAATAATATAATAGGTAAAATTTACATAATATAAAGTTAATTTAAGATATTTTCTCAGATAAATTTCAGAACATATCTATTTTCAATATTTCAACAAAATCTATAAGATTTTGGAAATAGAGTAAGTTTCAGATTTGCGCAGTGATTTGTCATCATTGAAAATTTAAAAACTATTTAATAAGTATTATTTATAAAAAAATGAGCTTTTAAAAATAAATATAAAATGAGTCTTTCTTATGGACTAGAACAATTTTAATTATTATACTTTTAAATTCTAATTTAATATTCTTCAAAGATATGAAGAATAAAGTAATATTTTTTAAATTAATAACTAGAAGTTAAAAGTTATGCAAAATGTAAACCTAACTGACAATTTATAAGAGTATCTCATTGAACATTTTATTGTATACATCTCAAAATTATAATGAAATCTTATTCATAATTTTAATTATGAAGTTTATTAAAATCAGACATACAACTTTTAATACTAAATGTTATACAATTGTCAATTAAAGTAGATGTGTACAGAAACAGTAATTTTCAGTTTTACCCAAACAATATATTTTTAAGGTTACTTGAAAGCAACTATCTTATATTTAATATTTATTCCACTAATTTCTAGCAAAATAAATTGAAAAATGTACATAGTAAATTTATTAGAACTTAGGAAATATTAAAACGAAAATGTTTTAACCTCTATAGGTGGACAGAAAATTACAGTTTTAAATATCTTTAAATAAAATTAATTGCTTGATTGTATTACACTGTATAATTTAAAGAAAAAATTGATAACATTTGAAGTAAAAAAGCCATAACATCAGCTCAAATAAATTATTAAAGTTATTTGCCTTACAAATATATTACATAAAATAGTTTAAGAACTATAAAGTACCTTCATCATCATCATCATCACTTTCCATTGCTTTAATTCTTTTAGCTTTTTTCTTGTCAATTTCATCCAATTCATCATCCTTTAAAAATTAAAAACAAAATAGCTTTATAGTAGATTACACTTTAGTTATATTAAATTATAAATATGATAGTAATATTTAAAAATTATAAATATATATTAATATTATAAATTTAATTAATATTTAAAAATATTTAATATTAAAATGTATTTGAATATAGTTACTTACTTCACTTTCTTCTGCTTCAGAGTCAAGAAACTGAGACATTTTTTTGATTTAAATTCCTATTAAAAAAAAAAAGAAATGTTAAATTAATAAGTTTTGAATGATTATCGCTGTTATTCTAATACAATTTCAGTTAGTGAAATATATAGATTTATATACTCTGGATAAGATCAATAAATGAGCAATTTTAAGAGGTTCATGGTATAAATGTACTGTTAAATATTAGAAAAAGAAGCTATACTCATGGCAATATGCACCACACATTTTTGAGAGAACCGTCCACAACTCACTAAAGTTGAATAGCCCTATGTTAAGTTTTCAACAAGGCTAAACCATTTAATGTGGATCAAAAACAAAACGTTAAGAATCGAAATTATTTAATGAATTGATTAACAGTAATTGGTAATGGAATGTGTTGTCTTATTGGCTTTGGAATTATTCAGAAACGCAGTCATGCAAACAGGTGCGCGCGGAATACGTTGGGATAAAATGTTATCGTGAACAGTCGTTGGCTTCATCAACGGTTCTAAAATGCCGCTGTGGACGTCGTTCGATTCGCAATGCGAGTAGACCGTAGTCCGTGTGCGATTGGAAGAGGTGTAGCCGTGAATTGGCGGCAACGTGACCGTCGTATCGGGCAGCCCACGGTTCGCTAAGTTGCGTTCCGGGATTGTGGGAAACGCAATGTGAGAATACCCATCGAAAAGAGTCACGTACAAAGTGCGAAGCAGCAGGCAGAGACGACAAACGCGTATGCAGTACGGTTCGTTCAACAACGATGACTGCTTAACGAGTACAACGTGCGGCGTGTTTTGATGACAATGGCAGACATTAGCAGTGGATTGCGGTCGTCATTTATCGACAGTTGGCTTGTGGTGTTGTCATTGGAAAAAAAAATACGGGACGGCCATTTTACAATATTACGTTCTTATCAGTCTCGCGGAAGCACCACCATCGTTGGATCCGCGATGGCACCACCGCCGCCACCGACAAAAACGACGACGACCACACGCGCAGTGTAACCGCCAACACGTTGGTGTTACCAACTGCGGATTATTACCGTACGACTACGAACATTAACCGGAACGCATTGATGGACGGCGGTCGGCAGCCATTCAAGGTCGTATTTGGGTGGGAAGGGGGCATTCGCCCCCCCATTACACGTATTTTTTTTTAATATAATACATTGATTTCTTTAAAAAAGGTAATGCATAAATAATTAGGAATATAAATTCCTAGTCTATCATTATATGATAATAAATTCATTTATATGTCAATTTGGTCACGAGTATCAATTTTTGTTTATCTTCTTATATCATAACATTTGTGGTTGTGGAACAAATAGACGAATGGATCTTCGCAGGAAAAATGTTTTTGTGTCCGTATATAATATTGCCTACATTAAGCCCCTTTTTTACACCTAACAAAATGTGATAACATTGATAAAATGATAAAATCATTTTCATTATAGTGGTTTTATATGTCGCTAAATTTATATTAAAATAGTTAAATACATTAATAGTTAAATAAATTTAATAATATACAATTCGAAAAAAAAACACAATATCGTAATATAAATTTAAAAATACACAATTCATTGCGAATATTTCAAGCGAAAATATAATACAAATGTCTTAATTAGATTTAATATTTTGTATTTTTGTTATAAAAGCGTATCTAGCTGTTTAAAGTTTAAACCATGGGTCCCTTCAACACAGATTTAGTCATTTCCAAATGAAAATATTATATTTTCCTAAATTTGTTGCAAAATCATATTGCACAGTATTTAAAAAAACAAAATTGGATTATTAATACAATTTACTATTTGTATGGTCGCCCATAGGTAATATTTTAGGGGGGGGGGGGG